CTTGTCTACATTTACAGCATGGGAGAGCTTCTCCCGTCAGTGTAGGTACTCCACCTCCCTGAGAGGCAGTACCTATGTCGACGGGAGAAGCCCTCCCATCAATACAGTGCTCTCTACACTGGGAGTTCAGTCAGTATAACTGCATCGCTCATGAGTATTTTACCCTATACTATACAGATTTCATGGGGGAGACCAACATTTCTCAAATTGGGGATTCTGACCCAAAAGGGAGTTGCAAGGGGGTCACAAGGGTATTTTAGGGGGGTCGCGGTATTGCCACCCTTACTTCTGCACTGCCTTCAGAGCTGCGTGGCCAGAGAGTGGTGGCTGTTGGCTGGGTGCCCAGCTCTGAAAGCAGCACTCTGCCAGCAGCTGCACAGAAGTAAAGGTGGCAATAGAACTTCAGAACTAGGCAGCTGGAGAGTAGCGGCTGCTGACTGAGGGCCCAGCTCTGCAGGCAGCAGTGCAGAAATAAGTGTGGCAATACCATACCATGCCTTCCTTACTTCTGTGCAACTGCTGGTGGTGGCTTTATCTTCAGAGCTGTGCTCCCGGCCAGCAGCTGCTACTCTCCAGCTGTCCAGCTCTGAAGGCAGAGCAGTCACCAGTAGCAGAGGAGAAGCAAGGGTAACAGTACCACTCCCACCCCCATAATAACCTTGCAACCTTCCCACAACTCCTTTTCAGGTCAGAACCCCTACAGTTACAACACTGAAATTTCAGATTTAAATAGTTGAAATAATGAAATTTATTATTTTTTAAATCCTACAACCGTGAAATTGACCAAAATGGACTGTGAATTTGGTAAGGCCCTACACATCTCTAATAGCAAATTTATATTTCACATAATACATGGTCATCAATATTGCTTTAGATGTAGTTTTATAAAAAGTCCCCCCCCCACACACACACAAACCCTCCCATCCTACAAGTTACAGTGTAGAGCAGGGGTGGGCAATGGCCTTCGGGACAGATCCAGCCCATCAGGGCTTTGGATCCGTCCTGCAGGATTGCCACCCCCGTGGCAATGTGGGGCTAAGGCAGGCTCCCTGCCTGCCCTGGCTGCTTCTGGAAGCGGCTAGCACCACATCCCTGCGGCCCCTGGGGAAGGAGGGGGGCAAGAGGGCTCTGCGCTCTGCCCTCGCCTGCAGGCACTGCCCCCTGCAGCTCCCATTGGCCTGGAACAGGGAACCACAGCCAATGGGAGCTTTAGGGGAGGTAGCACTGGGGGAGCCCACACCCAAACCCCTCCTGCACTCCACACCCCAACCCCCTGCCCTGAGCCCCCTCCCGCACTCTGCATCCCTCCCTGCACCTCAACCCCCAGCCCTGAGCCCCCTCCCGCTTGCCACACCCCCTCCTGTACCCCAATCCCCTGCCCTGAGCCCCCTCGTACATCCCACACTCCTCCTGTGCCCCTTGCCCTGAGCCCCTTCCTGCACACTGCACCCCCCCCCACACACCCTGCACTCCCTCCCACACCCCAACCACCTGCGCTAGCCCTACATTCATGGTCCTGCTTACAACTTCCCCACCCAGATGTCACCCTCGGGCCAAAACGTTTGCCCCCCCCCCCCGGTGTAGTGGTAGATCCTTGTTCCTACCCTGAGTCCCACAGACATTGTAACTCACAAGGTTAAGGCCTAAGTTATTTCACAGATTCCCTGGATTCCTCCTCCGCTTTCAGAGGGAGAAGGATGCCCATGATATTTCATCTTTCTTGTTTTGTTTCTCCAATTATAAATAATTTCATCTGATCGAAGACAAAGAATAAAGATGAATGGTAAAATAACTACATTTACATCAAAAATTAATCTATATAGTTGCAGGTTGAATTTGTATTGCTTCATAAAATGAACTGTCATGTACTGCATATTAAACAGAATAGTTTATACAAAAACTCTGGACAAGCTCAGCGCAGCTGGTGCAAATTGGCCAAGCTCTGTTAGATCTGGCCCTAAGTGGGCTTGATTACCCACTGCCTCACACTCTGTGTGTTGTCATTTACACTTGTGCAAAATGAATGAAAAAGGGATATAAACCTTACATAAGCAGGATGTTAGTGTTTTACATCCACTTTGCATAAATGTAATGACAACTCTGGGCCTGATTCACAAATGAATTACTCCAGTTTTAGACTAGTTCTAGCCATTGGAGTTACATCAATCTGAACCTGAAGTAATGCAATGAGGAAACCGGTCCATAAGGTGCAAAGCAGTGTAAAGTGTAGCCATACTGTCTCAGTGTTGATAAGCAAGCCTAAAAATACAATTCCATTCTCAATTAACAGCAGAAGCAACTGTCAAAGTTCTGCCAAGAGCAATACAGGGTCAGATACTGCCTAATGCATACTGAGATACAAGTGGAGTTAACTATATCCAAGAGGCTGTTCACTCACTCTTCGGAATTCAGTGGAGTTACGCAATGCCATTGACTTCAGTGAGGCCAAAATTTTACCCTGATGTCAGGTTCACCGGGCAGGGACTAACTATGAAGTGTGATGATGGAGGCAGCAGTTCCCGCAATACAGGACATCTGACTTGTTGATGGAGCCTAACTAAAAAGTCCAGGTGTGGCAGGAGGAGAACTTAATGTTTTATTTAAAAAAAGAGAAAGTACCTCACTGAGAGTAGATTATACAGCTTCAAGAAAAGGAGTACTTGTGGCACCTTAGAGACTAACCAATTTATTTGAGCATGAGCTTTCATGAACTACAGCTCCCTTCATCGGATGCATCAGATGTAGCTCACGAAAGCTCATGCTCAAATAAATTGGTTAGTCTCTAAGGTGCCACAAGTACTCCTTTTCTTTTTGCGAATACAGACTAACACGGCTGTTACTCTGAAACCTATACAGCTTCAGTTACATTTCTTAGACATGAAACTGGTTTCCCAAACTAGTGTAAATCAGCAGAACTTCATTACCTTCATTTTGCAATAGGCTAGGCCCATTTACAACAGTTGAGCATCTGGCCCAGTTTCTTTATATAGCTGTCATTAAAATTACTGTATAAATATTGCAAGACATATTTCCAAAGTTAATTTGATTTTTCAAGCCTATATAGAAGTTTACCACTAGAACAGGGGTGGGCAAACTTTTTGGCCCGAGGGTCACATCAGGCTTGCGCAACTGTATGGTGGGCCAGGTAGGGAAGGCTGTGCCTCCCCAAACAGCCTGGCCCCCGCTCCCTATCCACCCCCTCCCACTTCCCACCCCCCTCAGAACCCCCGACTGCTCCTTGATCCCTGACCGCGCCCTCCCAGGACCCCCTGCCCCTAACCGCCCCCTGGGACCCAACCCCTTATTCAACCCTCTGCTTGTCCCCCCCACCCTCTCCTTGTCCCTTGACTGCCATGACCCCCATCCACACCCCCGCCCCTAACCGCCCCCTAACCACCCCATCCAACTCCCCCTGCTCCCTGTTCCCTGACCCCCCCCCCCCCCGCAGAACCTCCGCCCCATCCAACCGTCCCCTGCTGCCTGTCTCCTGACTGCCCCTCAGGACCCCCGGCCCCTTATCCAACCCCCCCGCTCCCTGCCCCATTACCATGCCGGAGCCAGCCACCCTGCCGCACTGCCCGACAGGAGTGGCAGGTGAGAGCGCTGCTGGCGTGGCTGCAGGGGAGGGGGAGCAGTGGGGGTGGGCCCGGGAAATAGCCTCCCTGGCCGGGAGCTCAGGGGCTGGGCAGGACGGTTCCATGGGCCGGATGTGGCTCGGGGGCCGTAGTTTGCCCACCTCTGTTCTAGAGGAATTCCCTTTGTGAAACAAGGTGTGTTGAACAACTTTAATACTAAAAATGCAGTATGCATATTTTGTCATCTGACAAAAAAGTTTCCACCGTATCTAGTGTTTATGTTTGAGTACAAAACTTTATCATATTTTCTTAGATCACTCATTTTTCAGAGTTTGGATTACAGGGCATTTGAACGACAGCTATTTGACCAAATTCATCCTTGCAAATTCTGCAAGTTTTTGAAAATTAGAAACTCTGAGATGGGGTAAAAACAGACAAACTGATGCTGCCACTTCTAGATAATTATCAAAGCACACAGATCACATTTCAGAAAGAAAAAAAATAACAGCATGAAAAATAAGTCTAAACATATTACCAGGATCCAATAAAGATAATCGAAAAGGTTTTTCTGACAAACTGTCACTTTTTCTTGCTTATTGTTCAATGCAGTAGTTTCCTAATTCACTTATTCCCACTCATCTAAATGCCATATGTTCTCTAATAATCCCTCATATTTCACTCCTTGAAAATGTCATAAAGTAATGATAAAAATAAAGCAAACCCTTTTAGCATATTGGTATTTTTTGTCTGCACGGAGATTCATTAAAACGTAAGCTTCCAAAATATATTTAATGTTTACAAGCCAAGTGTAAAAAGCTGATCATTGCAAAATGAGCGTTAGTGGGCATCTCAGAGGTGATCCTGTTCGTATTTATGTACTTAAAGATATTTCTTATTCTTTTCCACAAAATGTGTCTTCTCAGATCTGATCTGAGAAATAGCAATTGATACAGAAAAACATTTTAAGCTCAGTTATACAGATATAAACCTGGAATAGTTTCAATGAATTGAGTGGATTTAACTGAGATAAATAGTAAGAGTATAATTAAGATTAAAATGAGCAGGAGTGTCTTGAAAGAAGTTGAAACTTAACATCCTGCAGGACAGAAAGAGACACTCACGAAAGCTCATGCTCAAATAAATTGGTTAGTCTCTAAGGTGCCACAAGTACTCCTTTTCTTTTTGCGAATACAGACTAACACGGCTGTTACTCTGAAACCTATCCATATATTATATAGCACTAAAATAATATTATCAATTCTTTTATTAAAATTAATCCTTAATGTTTTCTCCCCTCTTTGTTTAAATATTAAAATGATAATACTAATGCCAACCACCATTTCAGAATTAAAACAGATCTGATTGTAAAAATATTATTAATTTTTAAATAAATACTTATGAATATCAAAATAATGCAGTATCTACTTGCTAATAGTTCCTGTAGCTGCAGACGTCTAGGTAGCGATCATTCTGACCAAAGGTTTTTTCACGTAGTGCGTTCCTTTAAAAAAAAAAAAGTAAATTTTAATTAGTTGTGTTTAAACAGGCCCCATGTGAGTATAACTAGGTCAGAATTTGTGCTGAAAAGAATACTGTGAAAGAAGTCCTAATAACAAATGTGTGATGCTGGGAAGCTTCCCGTCTGTTAGGTTATATGCACCACTGTTTCACTGAGGCTACTCAATCTAAACCAGCAAACTTGGGGGGAAGGGCAGGAAGGAGGGTTGGGAAGAAGATATTTTCGAAAAAAAATGGGAACACTGATGGCCAAATCTCAAGTCCAGTGCAAAATCGTTCAATTAACAATCCTTTTCTCACCCTTCTGTAAGGCCCACGATCTAGTGTGTTACCCTTGTCTCACCTATCCACTCCAAACTCCTGTGCCATGACAACTGAGAAAAGACAAGAGGGAATATTTAAAGTGCTCAGAATGTGTATAGAGGGAGTTGGAATAGTGGCAGGAACAGTACTGCCAACCTCCAGAATCCAAAAAAATCATAAGCCTGGCTTAAAATATTATGAGAAAGGGAGGGGGAGAAGAGAGAGGGGGTGTAAAAAAAGTTTTCAGTTTTGAGAAAAAGGTTTTCTTCTTGTTTTCGTTTTCTCCCATTGGAAAAATATTAAGAAAATTTCAAAAAATAAACTTTCCACAAAAATACATGGTTTCATAAAAAAACATTAAAAATTACTTCCTTCGAAAAAAGTTCTGAAAGAAAAAATTCAACCCTCTTTAGTTATCATTTTGGCAGCTTCTCTGGTTTGGTAACATGCAACTACCTGAATTTCTGGCCATGCAAATTCCACATGTGGACAGAGAATTCCAGGAATTCTGACTTCTAAGTTTTACAAATAGAGCTGGTTTTAAATTTTCCAATGTAACATTTTGTAAGAAAATGCCATTTCATAGAAATTAACTTTCCAAGTTGATTTTAATTAAATTTCATTTAGAAAAAAAAATAAACAAGGCATTTTGATAAGGTTGAAATGTTCTGTTTCAATCTTAGAGAGACAAGGTGGGTGAGGTAATATCTTTTATTGGGCACCCACCATATCTCTCTAATATCCTGGGACCAACACAGCTACAACTGTACTGCATACAACCGTTTCAGAAGGCAATGTTTTCATGTTTTGCTTTTGAAACAATTTTTCATTAAGAAATTTATTTGATATTACATTACAATAAAGAAAAAGTCAAAATCAAAATGAAGCCTTTCAAAATGGAGCATTCTGTCCGACCCAAAATACATTATTTATGTACATTTTGTTTCACAGGAAATGAGAAATTGAGACTTTTTTTGGTTTTGGTCTGACTCAGTTGAAAACAAATGCTGAAATGTCAGTATCACCTGTGGAGCAGAAATTCCAGTTTCCACCAGCTCTAGTCTCAAGGCAATAAAGTAATTCCTGCTACAAACAAGAAGGGCCACTGTCTGTTTAGGCTTCAAAATATACCTGCCTTAGATACAAGTGAATTACATACAACGTCCTCAGAGAATGCTATACCTAATATGAACATTATTGATGCATTTAACCCACAACGCATTCAGGGAGGGGAGAGAGGTGCATGGGGATGAGAAGGGACTGCCCAGCTGTAGGAAACCCTAGAGACATTCAACACGTCAGCCACTGGAATACTCAAAGAGCTAAAAAATACAGAACCAGCCAGGCAAAAGTAAACCAGTAACTAAATCCAGGATGCTGTTCATTTATTCTTCAGGATTCTTTAAACTAACATTTGACAATAGAACAATACATATGTAGCCAGTTATAATCACCCACACTTCAAGTCAGATACACACCCTGAAAATAAAATACACCTCAAGCAAATAAAATAAAATAAGTATAAGGATTAGGGTTTTTTTGTTTGTTTGTTTGTTTTTGCTAGTATTTCAAGAATAAACTGGATAAGAAAAACAGCAACATTTAAAAGTCTTCTACAGATGCTGTCTCCTTTCTGGTACAGTACATTGTTGCTCACTAGTGAACCTCCAGGGAAAAATTACTCTTCAAAAGGCTTTTAAAGAATGTCTATACATATAGTAACATTATTTGAAAGCCTTTTGAAAAGCCAGTGTTGTTGCTCTCGGCTATCAATATTTAGGTGTTCTATGCCCCAGCCTGAATGACAAAATGGCAGCGTTTGATAATACTTTTATTAGCTTCCTTAAAAAAAAAAAAGTTAGTTAAAAAGAATGTTGCAAATTCAAGCACTTAAAAGTTAAGAAATACCAAAGAAAGCTTTAATTCTACCCCCTTGCGTCTCTACATTATGCTACAGTTTTTAATTACATGATCTCATCAGTGGGGCCTGGGAGCATCCTGAGTGCAGTTGGAATACTCAGAAAATTAATTCTATGGAGCATGTACAAATGGTGATTTTCCTGCTGCATATAACTCACGCAAATCTGAACAAAATTTCACTGGGATAGCAAAAGGTACTACTTTGATGTTATAACTAGATCCTTGACAAATTTCAACTTTACACAACACTCCTCCTCCCAGATCCTCTGAAGTGCTAGAATGGTTCAAAACTATGGTAGGAAATGTGTTTAAACACAAGTACAGTGATCTATTTTTCACCAGTTCCGTTCTCAGACACACTTGCAACAGATCTGCTCAAACTTAAAACAACAATTTGAGGCAGAGACGAAGCACTGAATAATTTCAGTGAAAGTTCACAACTAAAAATAGGTTAAAATGGAAAATATTAGACCCCCCTTAACTATAGGTGTCACTACTGCTTCTCCTATAAATTACCCTAAAATAGGTACTGGCAAGGAAATTCAGCAGTGTACCTGTAAAGTTTAGAATGCCAGCTCCAATTTGTGTGCTGCAGTAAAGTAGTTGTCTTTTGTTTACAACTTTAATTAAATTGTAATAAGGGAAAAGAGAGAAACATGAAATAAAAAAAAAGTGAGCATTGACAGATTTGGAGCAGTATCCATTGTAAGTACTGTGGTACAGTGTAACAAAATGTTAGTAGTATTTGAAGCATGTGTACCAGTAGTACCATGTGTGTTCATATAAACATATAAGACAAAGAATCCCCCCACCCTCAAAAAAAAAAGCTCAAATACAGTCCATAACAGCATCCACCAGTGTACTGGGAAGTAATCCCTCCCCCGCCCCCAATTCAGCATGTGCCTACCCAGGAGTACTGGAAGTTCCCTAGACGAGAGGGGGCCACCGTTGCCAGAACGATGGTCCTGCCCCCACTCTGCCCTTCCCCAAACCATTCCTTCCCCCCTGCTCACTTCTCTCTGACCCTGCTCACCCTTAAGGCAAGTAAAAACTGATGGAGCCATGGTCCCCTGGTACCCCCATTCCAGCACCCATGTGTCTAACGTTAAACACATGAGTAGTCCCACTGAGTTCTGTAATGCATGCTGAATCTGGACCTCTATTATTTTAGGAAGTTCCAAGCTTATGGAAAAATTAATTAAATTAACTGGCTTGGCAAAACATAACATGGAATATATTTCAAAAAAACAGTATCAGTGTTTCAATTAAATATTTTTATTCGGTTGGGAAGATTCAATACCTGGGAGGCGGTTAAGCACAGAAACGTAACTGTGGTTCTTTACACAATCATTTTCCTACCCCCCCACCCAAAAAAACTGGGCCTGATTCTTCTCCTGCAGGTTTAACTCCAGGATAAACTGCCTGACTCCAGTGCAAGTGACAGAAGAATCAGGGCCGACGCCTGATACCGGTGATTTTATTTGTAGGATGTCATAGGCCACAATCCAAGTGCTCCCACTGAAGTGAGTGGAAGTAAAAGCAGGCCCCGTGTTTGTATATTAACAATAGGAATCCAGAAACTAAATTTAATACATTCTTATAGCATTTCATAATCCATGAGACACTTCACTTCCAGTAAGTGCTAACAGCAGATGAGGATCAGTGGATCACATCATAATTGGAGCATATATATTGATATTCTTAGACTTGTAAATGTATATTCAGGTCATATTCTTTCAAAAATAAATAAATAATGTTAATGATTAAATAATTAAATAAATAATAATTGCACGACTCATTGTTTCCCTCCACATAATGTACTGATTATTATGATGCAGCCACTCACCTATATGTAAAATCCCTGGCTTCTTAAAAAATTTCCCTGTTTGTTAGGCTGTTTTAAGTTGCACACTATACAGATCAACTAGTCAGCTATTCTATGGAAGGCTCCATCTCTACTGATACATAAAAATATTACAGTTAACATTTTCAGAAAGAAGAATGACTCTTTGTAAAGGTTAATTTTATTCTTATTTAAAAATAAGTAATATGTCTCAATTCATTTTAGCAATATGGAAATAAAGTTTATAATCTTATTTAATATGTAGAACATAATTTGCTATAGGCAATAAAATGAACAATCAACACTCAAAATAGAAGATTCAACAGGAGACAGAAAATGGCATATAATGTAACAATATAATGGTTTTCAGTAAGGAGCACAAGCTGATACTGCTAGCCAGATGTTTCTAGCAAATGACTACAAACAAAAGGAAAGCTAGTCCCAAAGTGGATGAAGCAGTTTTTGGTTTAAAACTCAGTTTTTTGGGGGGAAATGAAAGAACTATAGAAAAGTAAGAATCTTAGACAATCAATAGAAAAAATAATATAACTGAAAACATGCCCTTTTCAGTTCCATAAATTTCAGACGATATTTTGTTACATATATCATTTAACCTCAGATTAAAATCTAAACAATCCTACTGCGTACACTAAATTGGGTAAAGAAAAATTGAATATTCCCTTAAAATCATCTGATTTCTTCTCCAAACCAAAAGCTAATGTATTTCAGCAGCACAAATTCTAACTAGAGCTCCCAAAGCCTGTGTATGTTGTGACGGGGCAAGGCCAGATGGCTATAGAAAAGTAGTGGGAGATAGATATATTAGCTCCAGGCTAAACAAATCCCTGGTACCAGGATAAGTGAAATGGCAGCTGCTCCAGGTCAATTAAGACACCTGGGGCCAATTAAGAACTTTC